AACACTTGAGAGAATGAGCAGTTAGGAGGAGCCGGCAAAGAAGACTGAAAGTCTTGGCCAGAGAGAAGGGAGCAGGGGAGCATAGTACCATAGAAGCCTGGTGGAGAGAGCTTTTCTGGTAAGTGTCAAATTCTGTTAAGGATTCAGTCAAGATGAGTATTAAAAAGTGTCCACTAGATTTAGCATTAAGGACATCACTGGTGACTTTGGTTGAAGCATCCTTGAATGAACCTCTCTTGTGGGGAGACTCTGGCATCTACATTTTGACACATTTCACAGATGGTATGAGAGCTACTGGTCTAGCGTTTTCACATGATTCCTCCTCTGGAGGATGGAGCTATATATGATCTAGATAAATTCAGTGTATTATGTATTAAATTAAAAATTAATAACAAATGTTCCTAGTATTGGCTTTTTGGAGAGTGAAACAGATACTACCTATGAAATCACAACTGCCTAATAAAGTATTGATTATTAATTAGGTTGCCAGGGCTGGGTGTCAGTGCTAAGAAAAATTTGCCTCGGCCTCACTATTGCACATGACAGCCAGATGTAGATATAAATATATATTATTATGTATATGTATATATGATTATTATATGTAAGTTACATGATATGTATTATAAGTATATATGTGCATTACATAATATGGATTATTGTGTATACATATAAATGGTTATCATATTATTCTGGTTTACAGATTCATCATGCCCAAATATGGATATTGTGAACTATTTATCATAGTCATATTCTCATAATCGCCCTGAGGCATTAATCCTTGAACTCTGGATACCTTTTGGAAGGCTCCCCTCCTTTACCATTACCATATAGATGGCCAGGGAGCCATCCTCTTGTTTGTTTTTGTTTTTATCTCTTTCTTATATGAGTACTCTGCTATGGAAACCCCAACACTGAAGGTTCTTGGGACATGATTACAGATATCATTTAAAATTGTATTGACAAAGAACAAACTGATGGGTCCCAGAGGGGAATGAGTGAAACAGGCGATGCAGAGTGTTGAACCACTATATTGTGCACCAGAGACTAACGCAACACTGTATGTTAACTATGCTGAATTTAAAGCAAAATAAAATTTAAAAAACCGAATAAAATAAAATTGTATTGATAAGTGGAAAAATATAGCAGTCATAAAATCCTGTTTCAGTACAAGGTGCATGCTTTCTAAGTAATTTAATTTTCAGTCCTTTCAGTGCAGTTTCTCGTTCTTTCTTTTTTTTTTTTTTTAAAGATTTTATTTATTTATTTGAGAGAGAGAATGAGATAGAGAGAGCATGAGAGGGGGGAGGGTCAGAGGGAGAAGCAGACTCCCCGCAGAGCAGGGAGCCCGATGCGGGACTCGATCCCGGGACTCCAGGATCATGACCTGAGCCGAAGGCAGTCGCCTAACCAACTGAGCCATCCAGGCGCCCAGTTTCTCGTTATTTCTACTCGTTTCAGCGGGACACAGGGTTGGCTTCAGTCATGAGTGGATATGGAAATGTAAGTGAGTGTAGTTCTTTCCCAATCTCGTATTCATAAAAGATGCCTTTTATTTTATTTTATTTTTTATTTATTTATTTTTTTTAGAGAGGTGGGGGAGGGGCAGAAAGAAAGAGAGAGACTCTTAAACAGGCTCCACTCTGAGCATAGAGCCCAATTCAGGGCTCAATCTCATGACCCTGGGATCATAACCTGAGCCAAAATAAAAAACTGACTGAACCACCCAGGCGTCCCAAAAGATGCATTTTAGCATCTCCCATATTTCAACCGAAGCAAAGCCAGTTGATTGGACGTGTTTTTATGGGTGACCCTTCCCCTCCTCATTGTGCTTAGGTCTTGAGCATTCAAACTCAGTCAAACTCTGTGTTTTTAGTAAGGATGGCAGGGTTGCTGATTGAGGAGTCAACTGCCTTTGGGCAAGAAGATGAACAGTTCAGGAACAAGGACTCAGACAGATGCGTTGGGCACAATCTTCTGTTGGAAGGTGATTTAGTTTTATACAACAATCTGAACATGACTTGGGTTTAAAATGAAGATCATAAATGGACATTTAGAGAGGCTTTAAAAGAAGTCGGCACTGTGTGACAGAGACCTCACTGCCTGAGTGACAATAATAGTCTTTACTGGCTCCCTTAAAAGCAGATAGCATTGAGTTATACTGGGCTTTCAGCCCTATAAGCCTCCATAACCTCAGGCTCATCATTCCTCTGGGCCACTCTCTCACCTGTGAAGAGGAAATCTCCATCATGGCTCACACATTTTTGGTTACTCTGAAGATTGGGGGTAGTAACCAAAACATTTTTCAGAGAGGCCACAATGGTCCTTGACGAATTAAAAAAATCAGGAGGTGAGAACCCTTTCTTGTCCTCACAACCAGAATTCAGCTGCAGGGTAGGCCAAAAGAAAACACGGGTCCCAAGGATGGAGTTGTCTCCTGAACTGAATCAGTAGACAATTCTGCTGAGAGAATAGGCATTCTGAGCCAGTGTTTGGGAAGATGTCCAATAATAATAATGGCAACATCAAGGATACTAACAGTTACCATTTATTAAGCACATTCCAAGTACTAAAGTGCTTTACAGAAATCACCTCTAATCCTCTCAACAAGAAGTACGTTAGTTTTCACTAATACTTTCTGGACACAGAAACAAACTCAGGGGGTTAAACAAATTCTCCAGAATCGTACTACGGGTGTGAATGCTAAGCTAAGTCTTCCTGGCACAAAAACTCAGGTTCTTAACCACTTCTGTATTCTGTCAGGATAAAGAATACTAGCCTCTACTTACTGAATTAATATCAAGCAGTACATATACGGGCATTGCTGCTGGTTTGGCCGAGTAGTAATAACTCCGTCCCCATTTTATAGAAGGTGTAACAAAGGCTCAGAAAGGATTAATAATTTGCCAAAAGTCACACAGCTAGTAGGCTGGAGGATTTGAATTCAACTCAATTCAATTCAAATCTGAAGGATTTGTAGGTCTGTAGGCTTTCAGACTCATACTTTTCCCACCAAGCCACACTGACTTCTAGGGCCAAGAACTTTCCTCGGTATGAAGAGAAGAAGTGCGCTCAGTGAGGGCAGAGTTTCCCTGATCTTCCAGATGGAGCTGGAATTAAATGTCAACTTTATTTATCTAGGAAAATTTATACAAAAAAAAAAAAAAGAAAGAAAGAAAAAAATGTAGCATATGTCCTTGGAAATAGAATGCCTTGGGCTTAATGTATCCCTCGTGAATGCAGAATTTATCAGCCAAGACAGATGGCTGGTCTTGTAGAGTCAGAGAGTGCAGGGAATTTTGAAAGTCCAGCATCATTCAAGGCATGGGAAGTCAATTCTAGGGGCAAAATTTCACAGCTTGTGAAGGGAACATTTGGAGGAGTGATGGAGAAGGCAACTTGCCTTCAGAAATGACAGGTAGCTGTGTGATTTCAGGATGTTGGTATGTGTCCTATATTCCTGATATGAGTCTACTGCATTTTAATGAAACTGTAGGGTGGTCCTTGGGTTGGATCGATGGTCTCTTTGCTGCTTGATTTGGTGTGGACACTCAGTGAATCAAGGGCTGCATCAGAAGCCTGACCTCTCCCCGAAAGGCACACATTTCTATCTAGGAATAGCTTGTGGCATTCTGATTACACCACAGAGAAGTAGTCAGGATAAGGGGAGGGCAAGTAAAATAGACCCCTTAGAGTGGAAGCAACTTTGTGAAAGGAAGACATTTTCCTGAATGTATTGCCTCTTTTTCAAAAAGCACTGAAAGAACTCCGATGCCCATGACTACCCTTTCATTACTTGCTATTCAGGAAGAGAGCAAGCAGTGGACTGGAAGAAATCACTGTTACTTAGCTTCTCACCTGGAAGTTAACTAATAAGGCAAGTGAGTGCCATTTTGTGGGAGTTCTAGAATTTTGAGGGTGCCACACAGGGTAGATATGAGTACTACCTTGTTCCTGAACTGTTCAGGAACCCGGTAGTACCGGAACTGGTCAAAGTTCCGGATGAGAGCAGAAGAGAGATATGGGCTAATGAGTGATGGGTATAATTTAAAAATAGGATTGCTTGTTTTCTTGCTATTGAGTTGATGAGTTCTTTAAATAATTTGGATATTAATCCCTTATCAGATGTATGGTTTGCAGATATTTTCTCCCATTCGGTGGGTTATCTTTTCACTTTGTTGATCGTTTTCTTTGCTGTGTAGAAGCTTTCTAGTTTGATGTGGTCCCATTTGTTTATTTTTGTTTTTGTTGCCTCTCCTTTTTGGTGTCATATTCATGAAATCATTGCCAAAACCGATGTTATCAAGATTTCCCCCATGTTTTCTTTTCAGAGTTTTACAGTTTTGGATCTCAGGTTGAAGTCTTTACTCCATTTTGAGTTGACTTTTGGGTATGGTATGAGATACAGATCCAATTTCATTCTGGTACATGTGGATATACAGTTTTTCCAGCACCATTTGTTGAAGAGACTATTCTTCCCCATAGTGTATTTTTGGCACTGTTGTTGAAAATTAGTTGACCATATATGTGTGGGTTTATTTCTAGGCTCTCTATTCTGTTGCATAGTAATAAAGCTAACTAATGAGGTGAGATACACTAAAAACTACAAAACACTGATGAAAGAAATTAAATGAGACAGAAACAAATGGAAAACCCATCTTGTGTTCATGGACTGGAAGGCTTAGTATTGTTAAGATGTCCATACTACCCAAAGCTATCCACAGATTCAAAGCAATTCCTATCAAAATTCCAAAGACATTTTGCAAGGATAGGAAAAACAATTCTACAATTTATATGGAACCACAAAAGACCACAAATAGCCAAATCAATCCTAAGAAAGAAGAACAAAGCTGGAGGCATCACACTCCTGATTCAAAATATATTATGAAGCTACAGAAGTCAGAGTAGTATGGTGCTGTAATAAATACAGGCATATAGACCCATGGAAAGCCCTTTTAGTTTAATGGAGCAATGTAGAAGAAGCTCACACCATTTCCACTTACCTCCCCGTCATCAGAACTCTGTTACATGACTATACCATGTTGCCAGGAAGGCTGGAAAATGTGACCTTGATTTTGGGAAACCATTTGTTCAGCTAAAATTGAGAGAGAAGAGAGAATGGTTACTAGGGGAAAACTAGCAATCTTTGGCATATACAACTATCAGAGAATGTGAAACTATTCATCTGATTTAAGTAACTGATAATCTACACAAATATTACCCTTCTTACTAATTGAACCTCCCAAAAGAAACTCTGTTTCTGGTCCATGAAACAGAGTTAACAAATGATAATTAATATGTACAAGATGTCAGTCAGAGCATCTGGTACATGGTAGTGGTCAACAATGAAGGGTCCCTTTCTTTTCCCCTTTCTAGGAAATACATAACTCTGAAAATTCTTTTAGGACAGCTGCGTGGTACAGCTAGCTGAAGGCCTAGAACCCAGATTTGTTCATGGGAATGTCCTCTTCTGGCTGGACATACATGCTGAGAGACAGCAGCTGGAAAGCTTAAGATAAATGATTTTGAAAGTTTCTCTCTGAGCATACAGAGCTCACAGAGATTAAAAAGAGAAGGCAGCAGGGGGCACCTGGGTGGCTCAGTCATTAAGCATCTGCCTTCGGCTCAGGTCATGATCCCAGGGTCCTGGGATCGAGCCCCGCATCGGACTCCCTGCTCCGTGGGAAGCCTGCTTCTCCCTCTCACACTCCCCCTGCTTGTGTTCCCTCTCTCACTGTCTCTCTCTCTCTGTCAAATAAATAAATAAAATCTTAAAAAAAAAAAAAAAAAAGAGAAGGCAGCAGGATGTACAGTATATCCAAAGCCTGGTAATCAAGTTAGAAAAGTGTGTTTCTTCTAACATACTGGGTGGAATCAGAAACCTCTGGTGTTGATTAGTGGAGGCCCAATCAAGCAACAATGCCTTAGATAACAGAGATAGCCACCCAGAAGATTAAAAATAAAGGGAGCTTTGAGACTTTCTAAATCATGAAAATGGAATTTAAAGACCATTTGTCACGTCCCTGCTATTTTGCCTCACAAGCAGACTTGCAGTCCCCACGAGCAAGGCTGTGCCTCTGCCCTGTGCAGCAAACGGACCCCCTTCTTGCCCTGGTCTTCAGTGACTAACTCCTTAGGCTTTGTTTCAAGGAGGGATTGGGGAAATTACCTAGAGTCATGGGTTTTATAACTATTGCCTCTAGACACATATCGAAACAGGGCTTTTCAGCTTTAGAGGGTGCTTTTGTATACTTTCTTCTAGAAATCTACTCTTTCCTCTGACTTGCCCAAAGACGCACAATGCCCAGGTCACCCTCCCCTTCCTTCCCAGAGAAGTGTATGTGAAAGCATGTGTGTGTGTGCGTGTGCGTGCGCACGTGTGTTTGCAATGCCTCTGAGGTTCAAACGCAACCAGCTCCTGGTTTGGCTTTATCATACAGATAATTTCAAGTCCTCCTTGATTTTTTTGAACAACCTTTTTAAATGTTTGCTATTTCAAAGTCAAAAAATGCTGGAAAGAACAGTGTTTTATCTACATTCCAGCTCCTCTACCTTCTAGCTTTCTATCTTTTTTTTAAAAGATTTTTATTCATTTATTTGAGTGAGAGAGAGAGAGTGAGAGAGAGAGCATGAGAGGAGAGAGGGTCAGAGGGAGAAGCAGGCTCCCCGCTGAGCAGGGAGCCCAATGCGGGACTCGATCCCAGGATTCTGGGATCACGACCTGAGCTGAAGGCAGTCGCCTAACCAACTGAGCCACCCCGGCGCCCATCTACTTTCTAGCTTTCTGAACTTGGACAAACAATGTAGCTTCTCTGTGTCACAGTCCTGCATTTGAACCCTGCCACCAGAGTGTAAGTTCCAATTAAAGCAGACATATTTTCCTCTTTGGATTACTGACATATCCCTTATAGTTCTAGTTAAATGGAAATAATAATTCTGTCTCATGGGATTATTATGAAGATTAAAAACATATGTATGCAAAGCACCTGGTCCTGAGTATGGCTCTTAGTCCTTGTCTAATGATGACTGTCATTATTATTTGGGAGTATAATGCTGTGCTGATTAAAAAGATGGCTTAAATACCATTTTATATCTAATTTTTTAGAAACTACGATTACTTATTGCCATTGGGAAGATAGTGCAGAATCTGTCCTCATTTTCTATCTGTGACCACTATACGTAACACATTGCATTAGCATCCCATTGAAGTTGCTCCTGCCAAGGCAACGACTTCCATGTGCCAAACCAATGGCACGTCCTCAGTCAGTTCTTACTTCACATAACTTATCCACACCACTGAGGTAGTTGGTCACTCTTCCTAAAATGCTTTCTTCTCTTGGTGTCCAGGATACCCACACTTCCTTGAGTTTTCTCCCTGGTTGCTCCTTCTTGGTGTTCTTGGTGTTCTTTGCTTGTTCATGTTCTTCCCAAGCTATTGAGTTGACTGTCTCAGGTGCCCGTCCTTGGAATCCAGTTCTCTCTGTCTGTATCCTCTCCCTGCGTTGGTCAGGGCCTTGACAGGAAAATCTAGGTCATTTCAGATCTTAACGATGGGACTTTTTGGGAGGATGTGAACACAGTTTAGGAACATCAACAATCAATCATCACTATTTTGGAGTTAGAAACAGTGGGGAACCTGAGGGGCTAGAAGCAGGAGTAGTTACCAGGACACAGGAAGGACAGCTGAGTGAGTGGGCTGACTGATGGGAGCTAGGGCCTTGGATACATGTGAAAGGATGGGTTGGGGGACAGGTGGGAGAACAGGTGGAAGGATTGTTCCAGATTAAAAGAGACTGAGACAGTATAACAATTGAATGCGTGAGCATTAATGGGATTCTGGATTTTTAAAAGTTAGCTCTAAAGAATTTTTATTAAGATAATTAGTGAAACTTGAATATAGATTGCTTAATAGTTGATATTATTGAAGCAAGATTAAATTTTAGGGGTATGATTTCTTAAAAAAACACATTTTGTCTGCTAAACACAGGCCAAACTTGGCTCTTGCGTGGTCTGAGTTCTTTCTGCCCCCCTTGGTCTTTGATGATAGAAGAGCCGGTACACATTTTGATAAATAATATAATGCAGCAAACCACGAGGATCAGAACCCTAATGTTTATGAGGTTCCAAGCCTTTGCTGACCATCTAGTCTTCCTGTTCCCAGCCATCTCAATTACATTTTTAAAGGGGCTCTGGCTGGTAAGCTCAAGAAGGCAAGGCTCTTTGCCTGTTTTATTCATTGCTATACAATAAACACCTAGAATAGTGGCACATAGTAAGTGCTAAATAAATATTTGTTGGCGAAATGAATTAGATATGGGAAGCCAATTGATATTGGCATATTGTTTTTGATATTGAATAGCAGGGTGGGACCACTTATTAATTCTACTTATTTATAAATTATCCAATGAGTTTTCTTTGTGGGCAATCAGATTGACTGTGAGAAAGGACGTTTTGGTTTTTTGTTTCCAATCCTTGCAGATTTTATTTATTTTTCTTACTATGCTGGCAGGATCTCCAATACAATGTTGACTAGAACTGCTGGACACAGGCTTCCTTGCCCTGTTCCTTACTACAGAGAGAATGCCTCTAGTTAAGAAGAGCACTCTGTGGGATTTTAGTAGATACTTTAAAAAAAAAACCAATTTAAGGAATTTCCTTTTAGTTTGTTAAAAGTTATTATTATTATTATCATCATTATTATCATTCATGGGTGTTCTCACTCATTTTACATCTGCCATTTTGAGGGATATTCTTCCAATGCCATTAAGAGTTCGTTTGCTTTCCAGTGCCTCGGAGTCAAATTCACAATTTCTCATTAGTTTTCAATGAGGGAGGCTCATTTCCTGCTTTATCTTTTTGTGCACCATAAAGCCTGTCAATATGGAGAAGCAAATCAAAGTTTTAAATTTTGGCATTGTGTCAACCCAGTCTTAATGTCACACTGTATTACATATGAGTTGCCAGGAATGAGACATTCCATGCTGAATAAAATGCATAAAAATGTGAAATATACATTGCATATTCCAAGTCAGCTGGTTTATGGTGAGTGAGACCCCATGTCCTTAGGATCGTTTCTCTTTCATTTCACGTGCCAGTGTGTTGCATTGTTAATTACCGTAGCCTTGAGATCTCGGCACAACGGGATAACAATGACAGCCACAAAAATTCAGGGAGAGAGAGAGAGAGATTGATTTTTTTGGAAAGTCAATAAAAATTCAACTATAATCTATTTCCTGAAGTGGGGGGGTGGTCAGCAAGCCAGTCTCTCCCTGGGGCTAGAGGAAGCTTAAGAGCTCTCAAAGAAGGGTTTCAGAATTCTCTGGACTCAGCTCTCTTTCATTCCTTGTCCTTCTACACCCCCCCCCCCCCGCCGTCCCTGTCCTTCCAGTACTTGTCTTGACATCTGTTTTTTTCATCACTGTCAGTGAAAACAAGTGTGGTACTGTCTGAAATCCATGAAAAGCAACCTCCTGGGAAGAAAATATAAATCAGAGGTGTGTGAATCATCGCCTCCAAGAGTTGGCATACTGTTGACTTGCATGAGAGGCTGCATTTTCATTTAATGCTGAAAATCGGCTTTTATGTGTATGATTGGCGGTGGGGAGGGTTAGAAATATACGACACAATGATCTCAGTGACTCAGAACTGGCCAAAGTGTGTGTGCGGGGAGAGAGAGATGGGTGGATTCATTCTGGCATCCGATCGGTCCCTGAGAACAGTAAGCAAATGAAAAGGGAGCCAGCTTATCAGCATACGGACACGCCATGAAAGCCCCCTTAAATATTTCCCAGTTCCGTACGCCGAGGGGACTGAGGAGGAAAGCCGGTGTCATAGGAAAAACTTATCTGCCTGAATATTCTGTTTAATGAGCAGATTTGTTCATTTTCTGGGGAACGCTATCATTTTGTCTCTATCACACGAAAAGAACTGGCTGGTGCAATCAATTCCAGAGAACACCCATCAATTCAGTTAAACAACCAGTGGGGAGGAAAACCACCCAGAAATCAATAACAGTTGTTTCATTGAATTGATGGGTTACTTCGAGTCATTCCGATCCATCTGTCGGTGTGTGTGTTCAGCTGCTGCCACGTCTGCGAAGCGCTGTGCGGGAACTTCGGGCCGGGGCCGACCCTGCTGGAAGGCCTAGAAGGTGCGAGGTGACAGAGAAGCAGGCTCGCCATGGCCAGTGGGTGTGTCTTTGGCCAGGAACGACCTTGCTGTTCGTGGTCACCCCGTCCTCATTGTGGGCAGTTTGCCCCTAGTGAGCACTGCGGCGAAGGATCTCAACAGCGACCACTTGTTGAGTGCCTCCTGTAAAAGCGGCCCGTTACCAACACTCTTACTTACCTCTGACAAAGCAGCAGGGTGGGAATTGTCCTCTCACCCTGCTCTTTTCTTGCTTAAAGATTTTAGAGCAGTCATTTACGTGGTTAGCCAGCAGTGAGAGGCGGAGGCAGGACTGGAATCTATCCGTGGCCATTGCCAAAGCCAAAGTTCTTTTCAGGATACCATCTGCCTCTATGCACAGCATAGTGACCAAGAACAGAGGTTCTGAAACCTGTTGGAGATGGGTTCAAATCCTGGCACTTCTTGCTGTGGGACCTTGGGCAATTTACTTGGCTTTTCTGAAGCTCAGTTTTCCCATCTGCAAAATGGGGCTAATACCTATTCATTGAAAGAATGGATCTAAAGTCCATTGCATAAGGACTGGGTCATAATAAATGTGGAAAAGGTTGTTTTTTTTCTTAGTCATTATTCTCAATAATATTAGTAAAGGTAGTGACATGAGATTGTCTTGAGCTCCTGTTATGGCTAAAGCCTTCCTCTTTCCTCGTCCTTGCCACCTGCAAATCCTTGGCAAGGTCTTTGTGAGAGGCATAACACGGGTGTCAATATTTAATTGCTGACTTCTGAATTTTAGTGAACATTTATTAGCCCATCACTCACTGAAGCTTCTACTAAGCCTGCTTTATTCCTTCAACAGTTTAAAAATGCCAGTTAGTTGCTCACTCACCTGCCCAGAGGCAGGCAGGAAGTGCCCACGAAAATACTGGCAGTAAAAATCCCCAAATCTCATTTCTCTGAAGTTCAAGAACAGACAAAAGTAACCTAAGGCAATAGAGGTCAGACTTGTGGTTACCTCTGGCAGGGGTGGGGGCGGGGTGGGGAATTGATGGAGAAGAGGCAGGGGGAGCCTTTGGGAGTGCTGGAAATGTTCTATAGCCGGATCTAGACATATGCACACATCACATTTCAGTTTTCACTTACGATCGTGCCCTTTACTGTTTGTGTGCGCTTCCTCAATTAAGGAGAATTTACAACCTAACTGTGCAAAATGCACCACCCGAAGTGTCAGTAAGCAGAATGTGATGATCAAACTGTACTCACCCACCTATGGCACTGGTAGCAATTGAATTGAGTACTCCCTTACGATGGAGGGGACCAGCCTAATTAAGAGTCGGCCTTGGCAGGTAATTACACTGTGGAAAATGTGAACACACCGAACACTCACGGTGCAGGGGAGCCGAATGCCATTCAGATTCACTGGTGCTCTCTAACAACAATAATAACTACCTTTGGTCATACCTATTTTGAGCTAAGGGTAGGTACGTTCATTTTTTCTCTAGTCTTTACGATCACCTTTTAAGGTAAGGTGTCTTTTGTTCCATTTTATGACTGAATTTATAATTTAAAGAGAACTTATAACAAGTAAGTAGTGAAGCCAGATTTTAACCCGGGTCTGTCTGGCCTTTTGGTTAGGAGCATAGGCTCTGGAGCAGAGGGCCTGGATTTGGAGTCCCAGCTCTGCATTTCCTAGCCCTGTAACCTTGGGCAAGTTCCTTGAGCCAAGAGCTGTAAATGGACCAGCAGTTATTCTGTTGCATGATGCAATGTCCCAAAAGTGGAAGGGCCAAATCCAGTGATTTTTCTGAGATATAAAGTAAAATGATCAGGCTACCTAAACTATGTTCGCCCTCTGTCTCCCCTCCTACAGGTTAAATAGCAAAAAGTCCTAAGTATCTGGTAGGCTCATCTGCTTACCTCTTTCTTCAGGTGAACTCCTGCGTCACGCAGGGCAGCTGGTGGGGTTGAGGCCCCTTGTCGCTTCAGCTTTCTGAGTACGCCGTGATTATCCTCAAGGTGACCTATGAGGAAATGTTCTAGACTTGCGGGTGATCCCTCCGTTCACGTTGGACACCAAGGAGTCAGGAAGATGATGCAATAAGGGTTTTTCCAGTTTGTCCATCCCAGGTTGTCCGCCTGGATCTCCAACCCCATTCCCACCCCGATTCCGGGAATTGTCCCCTCCCAGATCCACGTGGTGACTGGGAAGGTCACCTGTTACTGGCCTAATTAGAGCCACTTCCCCAGAAGTCGGGATTTAGAAATAAGAAATGTCAGCCTAGCTGGTCCTTTTAATGGAAGAGATTGAAGTTGAAAAGTGTGGGCAGCCCTTTTCCACCTTGTCTTCGAGAACATATACTGAGAAAGGAAGTGTGCAGCGAGAG